ACAGCCTTAAGTGCTCGGGACATGGCAGAAGGTTCCACACAAGCCCGATACTCACGGCAGCCCGGGAAGCATAGCTGTGCACTCTGGATCAAACTCGTTATGCTAGCACATCCGAGGACGGCAGCACAGACGAGCCATCATCTCTAGAGGACTCCAGCTCACCTTGTGATGCGGTGATACATGATTTCATCAGCCGGGGGACCGAATGAGACCGCGGGCCCGCGGGCGGGCCGGCGAACTCACCTGGGACCACGCAGGTTGCAATGTGAAAGACGGGGTGTGGACCGAGGAATTTTTTGTCGGTTTAGTTCCAAACCTGCCGTCTTAGGTCACCCTGGCCACCAGCCGAAGTATTATCTCACGTGGAAAAAAATAGATCGGGGTGTGGATGAGGGGACTCTCACTCATTGAGCTCATCGAGTCTCGACCGTTACATTGCGATGGTCACGTTCCCAGTGAGAGAACGTGACACACCCACGAGCGCTGTCTGAGCGCGATCAAAGCCCAAACACTCAAAACAGCGCTCGCGCCCATCAGCTGAATCTATCAGAATACCACACTCAGAAAAACACGGGCAGATCGTCTTTAGAAAGACGCGTCTTTAAAAAGACGTGCCGCGTGCAGCTCTTTAGTGAGAGGAAAAACTCCGCGGATGTTGAAGCGACCAGGGAGAACACACAGACTGGCAGACCACTGCTCAGCTCGCAGGCAATGTGAAACTCGCTGGATACCGCCGTCACACCAACACCGGATAGTTCGCTCGTCTCGAAGAGATGTAGTCACTGAGAAAACTCAGGATTTGGCTTGTGGAGTGAAGAGATGCTCTTGGCTCCGAAGCGAAAACATGATCTGCTGTTGCAGGTGTCTCTCCTTAAATACCCACGCGGTGGGGCGGAGATACATTATGCAAATTCCGCAGACCCATGGCATTTCATTGCCATAGGCTCGTTTTTTAATACTCGAAGATGATAGGCTTTCTGGCGAAACCCCCATTCTCCGTCATCCGACGTAACTCAGAGTGACTACGAAAGGGAACTTGACATTTCTTTCATCCAATGTATGGATGTGAATGATTTGTGGATTAAAACAGTTTAATAATTAATATTCACATTACTTACTAATATTTTTGGCCATGAAGCCTTCACTTAGAGCGGAGTACAGTGGTCTCTCCGTCCTTATTCCCTTGCACTTAAATTCGCTTTTAATAGTTTCTTCAGTTGCTGTCACTTTGAACATATCCGACGACCCATTGAGCCTCTGTTCGTTCTCGAACCAGGCATAGCTCCACTGTCTGCCGTCTGAGACGTTACACCTGAGGGTCAGGATATTCCCAGACATGATGTCGCTCAATTCAGTCTCCAGACTCAGAACTGCAGGTGGACGAGCTTAGAACAAAACAAAATGTTGTTTTATAAATAATTTTTTATAAAATGTATTTCATACTGACTCTTCTAATTATTTATAATCAATAGGCATCAGTGCTTTTACTTTTACTAGTTTTATTTAAAATGCACTTACTTGTGAAATCAATACTTTATTTAAATATATATGTATCATATATGTTCAAAACATACCATACAGTACACTACACTTAAAGGGATAGTTCACCCATGATGAAGATTCTGGGTAACAATTTATTTTAATGGTCCTTTTTGAACGTGCAGTTGTCTATAAGTACCTTTGTAACTATATATCAACTAGCTCTCATCAGAGTATTAGTAGACTGTCTGCTCAATATCTGCTAACTCTTTTATTGTGATGGTCCCCAACAGACATTCTACTGACTATAAGTAATTTTGCAACTACATGTCAACTTAATCTAACCCTAACCCTACCAGTCTACTAATACTCAACTAACACTCTAATAAGAGTTAGTAAACATGTAGGTGCAACGTTACTTATAGTCAACAGAATGTGTTAAAGGGACCATCAAAATAAAGTGAAACCAGATTAGGTCATTATTTACTAACCATCCTGAATGCTCTGCTAGTTAACTAGAGATGTTTTATTTATTTGTATTAATTACATCTGTGCCGCGAGATGTTTCAAAAGTGGTGGGGACAATATCGACCCTAATTGGTGGGAATATGTCCCACCCGTCCCACCCGCAAATTACGCCTATGATTCATGTCCTTCCGAACCTGTATTTCCTCCGTGGAACGTAAAAGAAGCTATTTTGAAAGTCAGTGGGGTCCAAAACAACATTAGACCACAATGACTTGTATAGTATGGACAAAAATAAGTACATTCGTCTAAATATCTTCTTTTGTGTTTCACAGAAGAAAGTCAGTCATAGAGGTACAGCACTAGCTTCATATTTTCATTTCATTGAATGCTTTGTAATGGTTTTATTCTATAAAATTAATGACCACAAGAGGCATTTTAAATGGGCACAAGCAGTTTGGGTAGTAACTCTAATTACAAGTAACTAGATTACGTAATTTAATTCCAAAAATGTAACTGTAATCTGTTACAGTTACTGATAATTTTTTTATGAATATTTTCTGTAAAAAGCTAGGATATGTTGAATTATGTTTTTGATGTGCACTATGTCTCCTGCCATTTAAAGGCCGTTTATTAAAGCTATGCTAATATGATGCTTTTGATTGGTTGTTGAATTTGCAGTTCCCCCCATCAGCCAATTACATCAGTCCACATTGCTGCTTAAATATTTAGGCTACAACCTGTCTGAGAGTTGCCACCATGGCGAGTGATAAAAATGTTTGTTAACTAACTAACTAATGCTATCGGGGAAGCATCTGCATGTCTGTAACTTAGCCTACAGTTAACTGTAAGCAGTCATTAAAAAAAGTAGTAAAGGCATTGCCTACTCCCGCCTGCGACACCATGCTACTAATGTGTATTCAAGATTGATTTTAGGTCTGTTTTGCTTGGTGCATGTCCAGTGGGTTTTTTAACAATGTTAATCTCCATTTATAACAAATTAGTTATGTCTAGTCTGCTAGCTAGATAAAGATGTCTTTAACAGCCACACTTCTATTTATGAATCAGTGGTGAGTACTACTGTTAGTGTTACGATGTGGTTTTGTGTCCTGCCATGTTTAGTCCTGTCTTGTCATTAGTTTTCCCAGGTGTTTCCCATTTACCACGCCCCCTTGTTATCCTATCTAGCTCGTGTGTCCCTGATTATTTAAGCCCTGTGTTTCAGCCTTGTCTTTGTGAGTTCTTGTCTAATGTTTAACGTCATGTTGGTTGTTCCTGTTCCCGAGTCCTGTATCTAGTTTTGCCTGTTGTAAAGTTTGTTAATTAAAGCGTGTGCTGCAGTTGGATCCTGCCTCATCTTTATTTCAACCGCATCACGTTACAGTTAGGTTAACCCTCCCTGGTTTAAATGTTTAAAAATAATTAACAGTTGAAAACATTTGTTAGAAATTTAGAAAAGTAATCAGTTGAATTACTTTAATAAAGTAATTGAAATAGTTACACTACTTGTTACATTTTAAAAAGGGTAACTTGTAATCTTTAACCTATATACAAAGTAACCTTTACCAAAATAGGCACTAGAGACTCACCTTGAACTCGCACTTGTAGAGTATCACCATACACTGAAAAGTCTCCTCTCTTTGCTTTGCAGTGATAGACACCGGTGTTAGAGAAAGATGCTGAGCTAATATTAAAGGTTGGATCTGTGATCAAGGTTTCTGAGTCTTTATACCAGTCATACTTCCAACCATCACCAGGCATGTAACAACCAAGCTGGACTTTCTCCCCAGTGTAGAAGAAATCAAACCACTGATCTTTTCTGATGTCTGGTATTGGTGTGTCAACTAGGAGGTAAACAGAGGTATAAATAATGGACCACTTTCAAACAATAACTGGCTTGAGTTGCATGTGCTTGTTATTCGTTATAATCCTCAAACAAAACTAAACAAAATTGCTCACTGAAAATACTTTTGAACATAGTCAGGAATCTGTAAACGCTGATACAAACCTCTTCATAATACCAATGTCAACAGTAATGCAGCTAAACATTTTCTATGGAAAGTAAAATCCTCATCGACCTTTTCAAGACACATGGCTGTCACTATGTGAATTGTTTTTTCGTTTCATTTCTGAATTTCATATTTTTCAAAAGTAGATTCACTTGCCATAAATATGAAGTTGCAAAGCTTCTGTTGTTCTTGTAGTCACTGGCGTTCTCTCACGATGTTTTCCTCTGCAGGTATACTGTCCTGAATGACTCGCTTTTGCTGATCTGATTGAGAGTGTGTTTCCAGAAAAGGAAATGTCCTTGTTACCTGAAAGCTGATCTCTGTTTCTAAACCATTCATAGGCCCATTCATTTGAATTGATTGAACACTTCAGAACCACTTTTTCATTTGGGTAAAATGTTTTCCATTTAGACTCTATTGACAGTTTGGGTTGAGGCGGCTCTGCACAAGAAACGACAACAACAACAGTAATGAACAATTGACGTGAAAAAGTGAATGAAAAGTATTCTTTAGCCAGAAACCTCCCTAGAGAAAATGTATTTTTGTAGGTTATAATTAAAGCTTTTTTTGTGCTCAGATAACATCATTATAACGATAACACTTTTAACAAGTTTATTTTAAGAACCTAGCCAGTATACTTTAAGAATTAAGAACCTAGCCAGTATACTTTCTTAAAGATTAATATATATATTTCATGCTTCCCAAATTGCAATCGTAAAATGTATATTACTTTTGATTTTAAATTTAAATTTAATTGATTTGTAGTGCTTTTTGTAATTTGTAATTAGTTTGTGTGCTTGATGAAAGCATGAACTGACTACATTTACTGTGTATTTTCATTTAGTACATAAGTCATGTCAAACTATTTTAGTACACTTATGAAATAAATGCATTTTAAATACAACCCTAACCCTAATCATTTAACTCCATTCCTTGTTGTTTCATTTACATATTGCATTTCCTGGACTTTTCTAAGGCATTGTAAACTCAATGAATGAATATTATTCCACAATAGAAATGACTATAAACAGGTACATTATGGGCCACCTTCAACTTGCACTTGTAGAGTCTCACTATCCACTGAGAAGTCTCCTCTCTTTGCTGTGCAGTGATAGACACCAGTTTCAGAGAGAGATGCTGAGTAGATAGTGAAGGTTGGATCTCTGATCAAGTGTTTTGAGCCTTTATACCAGTCATACTCCCATCCATCACCAGGCATGTTACAACCAAGCTGGACTTTCTCCCCAGTGTAGAAGAAATCAAACTGATCTTTTGTTATGTCTGGTTTTGGTGTGCTATCTAAGAATCACAGGGGTAGAATAAAAAATAATAGACTCTCTCCAAACAATATCGGCCTTGATTTGCATGTGCTTTTCATTATCTATGAGACTAAATTAATTGAATCATACTGCTAAAAGTGTCTGGCTTCTTCACTGAACTCTTTTTTTTTTGAGTGCCTGTTAATTTCATTCATATTTATTAATTATAGAATATAACAAGTAGTTTTACCATAAATATGAAGTTGCAACGCTTCTGCTTGTCTTGTAGTCACTGGCGTTCTCTTCAGATGTTTTCCTCTGCAAGTATACTGTCCTGAATGACTCGCTTTTGCTGATCTGATTGAGAGTGTGTTTCCAGAAAAGGAAATGTCATCATCACCTGAAAGCTGATCTCTGTTTCTAAACCATTCATAGTCCCATTCATTTGAATTGATTGAACACTTCAGAATCACTTTTTCATTTGGGTAAAATGTTTTCCATTTAGACTCTATTGACAGTTTTGGTTTAGGCGGGTCTACACAGAAAAACAATAAAAAACAACAACAACAGTAATGAACAATTGACTTGGAAAAGTGAATGAAAATTATATTTATAGCCAGATGCACAACTCTCTTGATTCCATGTCATTTCTTTTACATATTTGGCAGATGTTTACAAAGCGACTTACATTGTGTGCAAGGTAAGGGTCTGAATTTCATCAGTTTATTCATTTCCTGGGAACTTTACTGAGGCATTGTAAACTCAATGAATCAACAATGAGAAGAATATTCCACAATAGAAATTACTATAAAGAGTTACATTGAGGACTCACCTTCAACTCGCACTTGTAGAGTCTCACTATTCACTGAGAAGTCTCCTCTCTTTGCTGTGCAGTGATAGACACCAGTTTCAGAGAGAGATGCTGAGTTGATAGTGAAGGTTGGATCTCTGATCAAGTGTTTTGAGCCTTTATACCAGTCATACTCCCATCCATCACCAGGCATGTTACAACCAAGCTGGACTTTCTCCCCAGTGTAGAAGAAATCAAACTGCTGATCTTTTCTGATGTCTGGTTTTGGTGTGTTATCTAAGAATCACAGGGGTAGAATTAGTACTAATGAACTCTCTTCAAGCAATAACTGCTTTGAGTTGCATATGCTTACTATTATTTATAATTCAAGACTAAATTAACTGACTCATACTGCTAATAGTGTCTGGCCACTATCAACAAGAGCAGACAGGAAACTGCATAGCATGAACACAGATACAAGCCAATGCAAATGAAAAACAGCTTAAAATATAAACAGCTTCTTAATTGAACTATTTTGGGTGCCGGTCAATTTCATTAATATCTATTAATCATAGAACATCATAAGTAGTTTTACCATAAACACGAAGTTGCAAAGCTTCTGTTGTTCTTGTAGTCACTAACGTTCTCTCACGATGTTTTCCTCTGCAGGTATACTGTCCTGAATGACTCGCTTTTGCTGAGGTGATTGAGAGTGTGTTTCCAGAAAAGGAAATTTCCTTGTTACCTGGAAGCGGATATCTGTTTCTAAACCATTCATAGCCCCATTCATTTGAATTGATTGAACACTTCAGAATCACTTTTTCACTTGGGTAAAATGTTTTCCAATCAAACTCTGTTGACAGTTTTGGTTGAGGCGGCTCTGCACAGGAACAAATAAAAAACAACAACAGTAATGAACAATTGATGTGGGAAAGTGAATGAAAATTATATTTATAGCCAGATGCCCAGTTTCTTGGTTATAAAATTGTTTAGTCTAAAATACATATTGAACTCTCTTGATTCCATGTCATTTCTTTTACATATTTGGCAGATGTTTCCAAAGCGACTTACATTGTGTGCAAGGTAAAGGTCTGAATGTCATCAGTTCATTCATTTCCTGGTCCTTACTGAGGCATTGTTAACTCAATGAATCAACAATGGGAAGAATATTCCACAATAGAAATGACTATAAAGAGTTACATTGAGGACTCACCTTCAACTCGCACTTGTAGAGTCTCACTATCCACTGAGAAGTCTCCTCTCTTTGCTGTGCAGTGATAGTCACCAGTGTTAGAGGGAGATGCTGAGTTGATAGTAAAGGTTGGATCTCTGATCAAGTGTTTTGAGCCTTTATACCAGTCATACTCCCATCCATCACCAGGCATGTTACAACCAAGCTGGACTTTCTCCCCAGTGTAGAAGAAATCAAACCACTGATCTTTTCTGATGTCTGGTTTTGGTGTGTTATCTAAGAATCACAGGGGTAGCATAAAAAATAATAGACTCTTTTCCAACAATAGTGGCCTTGATTTGCATGTGCTTGAAATTATCTATAATTTGTGTCTGGCCGCTGTCAAGAAGAGCAGACAGGAAACTGCATAGCTGACATGAACACCGATACAAGGAAATGAAAAACAGCTTAAAATATAAACAGCTTCTTGATTGAACTCTTTTGGGTGCCTGTCAATTACATTAATATATTAATCATAAAATATCATAAGTAGTTTTACCTTGAATATGAAGTTGCAAAGCTTCTGCTTGTCTTGTAGTCACTGGCGTTCTCTCACGATGTTTTCCTCTGCAGGTATACTGTCCTGAATGACTCGCTTTTGCTGAGCTGATTGTGAGTGTGTTTCCAGAAAAGGATATTTCCTTGTTACCTGAAAGCTGAGTTCCATCTTTAAACCATTCATAGCCCCATTCATTTGAATTGATTGAACACTTCAGAATCACTTTTTCATTTGGGTAAAATGTTTCCCAATCAGACTCTATTGACAGTTTTGGTTGAGGCAGCTCTGCACAGGAAAACAAAAACAACAAAAAAACAACAGTAATAAACAATTGACGTGGAAAAGTGAATGAAAATTATATTTATAGCCAGAAGCTCAGATTCTTGGTTATACAATTTGTAGCGAATTAGCTAAAAATTAGGGAATATATAATTAATAATTATTCATACTGGTTATGATCAATTATTACCTACATATTTTAAATCACCCAGAAAGGGGATACATAGCCCATGTATTTGTATCTATAAATATGGATAATTAATTACAACAAATTATAATCAATTATGAATAAACCGATAGGCTAGAATAGATACATTTTCAGAATAACCTTTAACAGAATTAATTTCACAGCGAATAATATGTTCGTCCACCGAACCGACAGTACGATCTTCTTATCACCTCTAAAGAAAGATTATTCTTCTTATCAACTCTCAAGAAAGGTTATTCTTCTGGTCATGAAAACTAACTTTCCTGTTCTATTAGATCTTAAGCTTGTAGCTTAAGATCTCAAATTTAAGAGACGTTGTTAGGTGAGCAGGAGACAGAGGCAAGAAAGAAGAAATTGTTGTGTAGAAGGGATCAAACCACTGCTCTTTTCTGATGTGTGGTTTTGATGTGTCATCTAAGTCATAGGGGTAGAATTAGTTATAATGTACTCTCTTCAAACAATAAATACTTTGAGTCATTATAATTTTTAAAAAATAGTTTATAATTATTTTATTATTCTAACAATAATTTAAAGATTTATTAAACTATATTTATGCTAGGTTTGCGTATGATTTCAATAAAACACCAAGAAACAATCTTTACTAACGCAAGCTTGTTTCCCTGAGGTAACGGGAATGAGCATTGCGTTTAGTTCATGCAGTGAAATTTGTGTAGCCTATATTTTATATGACAGATGTACAGTTTCAGAAGTTTTGTTAATGGCATTTATTCCTGCAAAATAAAAGGCTGATAACTTACACTTAGTGATTAAGAAGATTGAGTGAATGTTGGTAATAGTTCTGGTGGATTGTCACCTTTAAAGGGGTGGTATAATGCCGCTTTTTACAATATGTAAAATAAGTCTCTGTTGTCCCCAGAGTGTGTATGTGAAGTTTTAGCTCAAAATACCCCACAGAATATTTTTTTACAGCATGTTAAAATTGTCCCCTTTTGAGGGTCAGTAAAAACGCGTCATTTGGTGAGTGTCCCTTATAAAAAAAAATGAGCTGCTATTCTCGGCACAGAGGGCGGAACTCCTGTGTGTTAGCAGCTCACACAGACAAGCACTAAAATGTCAGAAACTGTTTTGCCTTTTATTTTTAAACTGGAGTCGGACAATGATGGAGAGACTCAAGAAGTGACAACATGTAGAATGCAACAGGACGTTTCTGAATGGTTAGTTGATGAATGTCATCAACATTCAAGTCATTGATTAGCATATTCTGTAGGGGTGTGACGAGACAATCATCTCACGAGATGATACATGAGATTGGGGAGAACAAGACTTTTGCACAATTTTTCAGACATCCTCAATGAAAAAAATTATGATTGGAACAGTATGCAGGTGCATTTTGTAATGTTTTAACTAATAATCTTCTAATGCATGTCATTTAAGGTCTACTTTATGAGTATGAATTATCAAATGCATTGAAAGAAAACAATATACAAGCACTGTAAAAGGTTTTTACTGACTGGATTAGTGATTTTCTCCTGTATGAATTCACATCAGTCTCTTCAGACCATACTGTACCTTTATGAGCTTTTAGAACTTCTGATTGAGGATGTATATGACCTGCTAACTGAACTATTTTCCACAAATTGAACATAGAAATAAAAACAGTATAAATTAAAAAAAATAAACAACAGATCCCTCTCGTCTGGGAACTCCTACGTCTCGTCGGAGGAGTTTCCAACGAATTGGGATCACGCTAGGGAGACCAATTGCCTTCGAGTGAATAAAAACGAGTTAATAAATATTGGCATGCGGGATTTGCAATCCGCGTCCCGCCTACCAATGCGGGTATAAAGTGGAAGCAAACACACACACCTTTGCTTTTAGCTTCGGAGCCGAACTTAGTGTCCTCTGAGTGATGAGCTACAAAGATTGATTTGATATATTCACGCTCAACGAGTCTGCTGTTTCAGGAAGAACCTCTCTGTGTTGGTGTGACGGCGCTTCAGTGATCCTCGCGATCTCCCGGTGTCAGCTGTTGCTTCACGCGATCTGCCTTGTTTTCAAAGAGCTGTTGTAACAGCTGGTATTCGGTTGAGTGCGCGCAGCGGGCTTGCAGTTTCCCCGCTGTGTTGCCGCGTTGGTCCCTGTGTGTCTCGACACAATTAAGAGTGCGTTTCTTTTCTAAAAGAGCAACACGAGTGAAGTTTGCGTCCTTTTCAGGATGACGTTTCACCCGTGTGTTTCTGGATGCGGTCAACTTCTGCCTCCGGCCGATGGTCACGATCGCTGTGTCACGTGCTTGGGCCTCGCGCACGCAGAAGCAGCGTTCGTGGATGAGTCATGTTCTCATTGCGGGAACATGACCGTCGCGGTGTTGAGACTAAGACTGCGATCCCTCACCAAAGGGGGAGTTCCTTTAGAGAGACCCCGATCTAGTTGTTCTTCTGGTTCACTCCAGAAGAAAGCTACTTCCGCTGATCCCATTGGTGGTCTGAGGGTTACAGTGAGGAATGATCTGCCGGGTGAAAGACCCCCTCGGACATTCCATTCCTCTTCAGCCGTGCCACTGGGGTCTTCGGAGGAGCGTGCTGGGTCATCCCGAGTGGCTCCAGTCGGTTCCTTCGGGGCCCCTCCGGAGGACCAGATGTCGATCGAGGCATCGGAGGGAGATGAGTCGCGATCTGGGGATGACGACTCGGCTATATTGCCCCCTTCGGGTGTGGTAGTGTTGTCCGAGCCTGACCCGGAGATGACACTTATGCTCCCCCGGGTGGCCGAGAAGGTCGGGCTCGTGTGGAACCCTCCACCGCGTCCCGAACCGTCTCAGCTCGACGATTGGTATCTCGGGGCGGCCCGTGCTGGTACTCAGCGCACCGCTCCGGTTCCTTTCTTCCCGGAGGTGCATGAGGAGGTGACGAAATCTTGGTCGAACCCCTGGCGGCTAGACTGAGGTTGACTCCCTCCTCCTCCCTCACCACTCTCGATGGCGGAGCAGCTCTGGGATACGAAGGCATCCCCCCAGTGGAGCGCGCGGTGGCGATGCAACTGTGTCCCACCTCCGCTTCCTCCTGGCGGGGTAACCCTTCGCTCCCCTCTCGCGCTTGTAGGTTCTCTTCCAGTCTGACTGGAAAGGCCTACACTGCTTGTGGAGAGGCTGCCTCTGCCCTGCATGCCATGGCACTCCTGCAAGTCTACTAGGCCCGGGCGCTCTGTGACATGCAGGAGGGTGGTGTCGACCTAGGGGTGCTCAAAGAGCTGCGCACAGCGACGGACCTTGCCCTACGGGCGACGAAAGTCGCAGCGCGTTCCCTGGGTCGAGCGATGTCCACTCTCGTGGTCCAGGAGCGACATCTTTGGCTCACCCTGTCGGATATGAAGGACTCGGACAAAAACAAGTTCCTTCCTTCTCCCATATCCCAGGGTGGCCTTTTCGGCGATGTGGTGGAGAACTTCACCCAACAGTTCTCAACCGCCCAGAAGCAGTCGGAGGTGATCAAACACATCATGCCTCGGAAGCGGGCTAGGGCTGCCCCGCCTCCGACGGTCGCACCTCCAGCTGCTCGTCGCCGAGGGCGCCCTCCTGCCGCCGCCGCCGCCTCCGCCCCTGCCCAGCCCAAACAGCAGCCCGCTAAGCGACAGGGTGCCGGCCGTAGGAGAGATGCGCAGCCCGCTCAAGCCTCGTCTAAACCACTCGGCAAGAGGAAAGGTAAGCGACCCTGAGACGGGCCACCCAGTTGCTGCTCTTCAGGAGAGGGCCTCTGCACCTCTCCTTCCCCCGGAGGAGGGCCGGGTGGAGAATCTTTTGTTTCCTTTTATTTCTGTTCCGCCCAAATTCTCAATAAAAGAGCAGTTTCTGTTTCCTCTGGGTCACCCACGGTCGAGACTGGCAGTCAAGAACGACGCTCAATTGACCGTTCGCAGCTCCCTCCCCCAAAACGGCTAATGTCCAATCACACATCATAGCAACCGTTACTATGTGAGCAGGTCCGTCAAACATTGACTCCAAGCAAGATGGTGAAGCGGTGCGCCCACGGCGTTTGTAAATCGGACACTAGATACCCCGAGAGATTGTCTGGAGGAGTTGTGTTCTTTCCGTTTCAAAAGCCGAAAACACAACGTGAGCGGTCCCTACAACGGCCTCACTCCCAGTTAAATGTGTCGAACATGGTTAACTCGCGTGCAGCGTGCGTGAGACTGAGACAATGAGTACGTTTTCTAAAGTGTTGTTGTTAACATGATATTTTCGGGGGGAAATGAGCAGCAGTCACTAGCAGTGCATGCAGCACCTGTAGACTACAGTTTAGACCAGGAGTGCCCAACCCTGCTCCTGCCGATCGACTGTCCTGCACAGTTTATCTCCAACCCTAATTAAACACACCTGCCTTTAATTTTCAAGTGAGCCTGAAGACCTTAATTGGTTGCTTCAGATCCTGAAGACCTTAATTAGTTGCTTCAGGTGTGTTTGATTAGGGTTGGAGACGAACTGTGCAGGACAGTCGATCGGCAGGAGCAGGGTTGGGCACACCTGGTTTAGACTAACGTTAGAGGAGTGCACGTTCGCAACGGGGAACGCATGAAGCTTACTTGACAACATCAGTTCATATCAATATCGTAACGAATAGAAATAATGTATGGTTATCTGCATCTTTCCGTCTATTATGTATAGTTACTTTTTAAACACGACAATCGCATTCAGCATGACACGCAAGTGGTTGCCGTGGTAATGAACAACCTGCTTGTTAAAGCGAATGAATAATCCTGTATCTGAGGCAAAATTACTAAATATGCAGCGCGAGTTATATATTTCTAACTCCAAACAATTAGCCACTGAAACAGCTTATAAAATCTTCTTCAAGGCTGTGCTGGTTGCATTTGAGGTAACGTTACAGGTCATGGGGTTTCTCAGATTTCGCTTGAGACCGGTTTGAGAGCTTGAGAGCATTATTAGGCTCGATAGTAGTCGTGTCTCCTTCATTGCGTATTTTTATATTTTGAATATATCCCTCCACTGCATACTGTAACCCCTTTTGCCTCTATCTGGAGGATATCGCGGAGGTATTGCTCCAAAAAAGGTCACTGACGCACCTCTTCCCGTCATGGCAATCTGTGGTGCTGGTCGTGTTTGACCATTTGTTTGACGGGCGTAGCAACAATAACTAGGGGGCGTGGCTTTTGCGAACGGTCAATTGCCTCGTCACTCTCAGTCTCCTCCGTCGAAGAAGGCGAGAATGTCTGCGTGCACCGCCACGTTGCCTTGCCACACTCATTCCCTTCGCTCCAGCGCTCAGATGCCAGTGATGCCGCCCCGGTCTCATCACTCTCGTCTGTCGTTGGCCAAGGAGGTGCGGAAGCAAGGACTCGACGCCCCTCAGCCTCGCTCCTCGTTTCCCCTCCGACCTTTGCCACGGGACAGTCAGCAGTCGAACGCTCCAGAGAAAGATGGGCCTTCCCTGCTGCTTGCCCCCCAGTGGAGGCAGGTAAGTGTTGGACCACACACTCAGACCCCACCCTCGGCCGCAGCAATGCCTCGGAGGGCGGGTCCCTGCCTTCCACCTCGCTGCCCCTCCGCGGGTACGCCGGTGGTCCGAGTGGGTTCGTTGGTTCGGTTTCGCGAGGCCTGGCTAGCGCTTCCGAGGCCGTCCAGGTGGCTCATTCGCACCATCCGGTTCGGCTATGCAATTCAGTTTGCCCGTCGGCCTCCCAGGTACAGGGGTGTCCTCTTCACCCAAGTGCAGAGTGGCGACGCCCCTGTCCTGAGGAAAGAGATCGCTGCCCTGCTGGCGAAGGACGTGATCGAGCCGGTCTCTCCAGCCGAGATGAGGTCTGGATTCTACAGCCCTTACTTCATTGTACCCAAGAAAGGCGGTGGGTTACGACCAATCCTGGATCTGCGTGTTTTGAATCGGGCCCTTCACAAGCTCCTGTTCAAAATGCTTACGCAGAAGTGCATCTTCGAGTGCATCCGTCCCCAGGATTGGTTTGCAGCGATCGACCTGAAGGACGCGTACTTTCATGTCTCGATTCTGCCTCGACACAAGACCGTTTCTTCGGTTTGCGTTCGAGGGTCGGGCAAATCAGTACAAGGTCCCACCCTTCGGTATGGCCCTGTCGCCCCGCGTCTTTACGAAGGTCGTGGAGGCGGCCATTGTTCCCATGAGAGAACATGGCGTTCGCATTCTCAACTATCTCGACGACTGGCTGATAATGGCTCACTCGCGAGATCTGTTGTGGGATCACAGGGACCTGGTGCTCCGTCACCTCAGCCGTTTGGGGCTTCAGGTCAACCGGGACAAGAGCAAACTTTGCCCTGCGCAGAGAATCTCTTATCTCGGTATGGAGCTGGACTCGGTCAACCAGACTGCGCGCCTCACCGAGGAGCGCGTCCAGTCAGTGCTCAACTGCCTCAGGTCCTTTCGAGGCAGGTCAGCGGTCCCACTGAAGCAATATCAGAGGCTCCTGGGGCATATGGCAGCCGCAGTAACGCCGCTCGGCCTGTTACATATGAGACCGCTTCAGCGCTGGGTTCACAATCGAGTCCCGAGATGGCCGTGGCAGAGCGGCACATTCCGGGTCAAAGTCACCCTGCACTGTCGCCAAACCTGCATCCCTTGGTCGGACCCTGCGTTTCTACGGGCCGGAGTGCCCCTAGTCCAGGTGTCCGGGCATGCTTTAGTCTCCACGGATGCCTCAGCCATCGGATGGGGGGCCACGTACACGCCTCAGCTGCATTGGCACATCAACTGCCTAGAGTTACAAGCAGTACGCTTAGCCTTGTGCCGCCTCAAAGGGTTGCTTTGTCACAAGCACGTACTGGTCCGTTTGGACAGCACTGCGGCCGTTGCGTACATCAATCATCAAGGTGGTCTACGCTCCCGCCATATGTCGCGACTCGTCCGCCATCTCCTCCTATGGAGTCAGAAGTTTCTGAGGTCGCTTCGTGCTGTTCACATCCCGGGTGCGCTCAACCGTGTGGCAGACAAGCTCTCACGACAACCACCCCTTCCGGGAGAATGTTGACTCCATCCCCAGGCGGTCCAGCTGATATGGTGAATCTTCGGAGCCGCTCAGAGAGATCTGTTTGCCTCTCCGGACACGACCCATTGCCAATTGTTTTATTCCCTGACCGGAGGGTCCCTCGGCACGGATGCACTGGCACACTACTGGCCCCGGGGCCCACGCAAGTATGCGTTTCCCCCAGTGAGCCTTCTCGCACAGACACTGTGCAAAGTCAGGGAGGACGACGAAGACGAGGACGAGGACGAGGCAGACCCAGCCCTGGCTTTTCTCTGTCCCGTACGTGCACTACTTTGTTGTGTGGACAGAACGCAAAGCTTCAGGACCT